AAGCAAGCACATACAATCTAGTTTCACAAAGATGAAGTGCTGAGAAAAGTGCATTGAGTTCAAATCCCTCCTTGCAAATCAGAGGGAGAGTACAAAGCAGTCGTGTGCCTCACAAGAGCAGCGGTTTCATTTGTGGGAATCTGTACTGCCACCAGCAGAGATCCTGAGAAAAACGTAACTGAGGGCTTAAGGCCTATTTATCCATTAGCTTGTCCTCAAAGGTTTTCTCCGTGTAGCCTTAACTTAAACCAGCAAAGAGCCTTGTTGAAACTGCTGCTTTTTTCTTTTTCTTTTTAAAAGAGACCAACTGTGCTTTTCTTTCATTCTGTAGAGTACACAGCTGACATTATTATCCACATGCTTAGCAGTGCCTCTGCTGTAACCGATGACGCTCGTACATAAATGAACTGGGAAGACAGGAGTGGGTTGAAGCCATTTTTAGAACAACATGCTATTTCCTTTTTTAGTGCTGACTCATTCACTGTACCTTGTGGTATGTTTACCCCAATTGCTTGCTGCTTTGGAGGCTGTTGAATGAGGAAGGAATATTAATCGGTGACACATCGCACTGTGCTCCAGAACTACAGTCATGGTGAGTGTGAAGCCCTTGCCTATCTTTTGGCTCTATTGTGGGAATTATTTTTCTTTAACTAGCATTCAAAGTTATTTCAGTTCTGGAAACCACAAGTGACTCTTTTGTGCATATCCTTTCAGCACAGTTATCTAGTTCATCTCTTCTTTTTTCTCTTAAAGATCTTTGCTCCTTGCTAGTACTCATATCAGAGTGGAATGAATCAAAGTCATTGCACTGTACACATGTGAACCCTAATTAGCCAAAACAGCTGATGAAGACAGAGGAGATCTCACAGCTCATTTATCTTCTTCTTAACATATTTTATATTAAAATTAAAATGACTTGGAAAACAGTAGCAGCCACTATGGCTAAAATATACAAAAGTGTGCTTTATTGTATGTATGTTCTACTTGGGCTGTTTTGCTGCTGAGTGAGGTGGCAAAGTGTTGGATGCCCAGAAATGCACTGAAATGTTCAATTTGTTTACATTCAAAATAGAAATTAAAGGCCCATACATAGTAACTGTAGCTAATAATTCACAAGATATGGTCTGATAAATGCTGTTAGTGTACAGTTACAAATGGTAGCCCTCTGCTGTTGAGGTGATAATTGGTCAACCATTGACATTACAGCCCTCCCAAATGAGCTTTCTCACTCTTCCCCTCTCCCCTGCTCCTGTGTGCTCCCATCACCTCCACTGCAGATGGACTGAAGCAAATCTGATCTGGGTTTTAAATTATAAAAATAATCACTATTTTATACAACTGTATTTCAACTAATTTAGTTCTCTCAAGCCATCTACTTTAGGCCTAGATGACCACCCATGCTTGAAAAAGGCATACTGGCTGAATCACCTCTGACTTGCAGCACCACACTCCCAGTCCAAGGAGTGGTAAGTGGTGCCTTAGCTGCAAGGACTCTGTGTGGAGAAGGAAATGCAAAACCCTAAAAGAGGAGCCAGAGATTAAGCTTGGAGATTTACCAGGTTAAAGAAATACTTGCTTTCAACTCTAAGACATGACTGAAGCATATAAAGAGCAGAAAACTTCAAAATCCCTTGTCTTATCTCATTTTCCCAGGCATTTGTTAATTTGCTAGTAGCTTCCTTCTTAGAAAGAAAATTCCTATATTCACTTCAGCGTTTCAGTTTGAAGGAAAAACAGCTCAGTAATTATGACAGAAGACAAATTAGAAGCTCAGAAATATAAGACAGTAAACAAAGTCTCAAGCATAGGTCTAAGACTGCCATGGTCTTCCAGTTTGAGATTCCCTATATAAAAAGTCTCAGTGGAAAACAGAAGTAGAAACATTCCATGCAGATACTGAAAAAAATAATAGGAAGAAAACCAATAGATAGAAAAGTGAGGTGGCTACTGAGAAACCTCATATAACTATGTAGTAGAACAAAAGTAGAAAAAAGGTAGTAGAACAAAAAAATATATATAATATGTATATAATTGATATTAATATATAAATATAGACATTTATTTTTTGTTATTCAGAGGTAATTTACATATTTGTGTATTCATTGAAGGACTGTAATTTCACAGCTTTATTTTAAAAATAATTAAAAATATATACCTAACATCAGTCAGGAAAAATGTATTTAATACCACTTTAAAAAGAGAGACCCTGTGAAAATCCTTTGGGTTTTATGCTAATCTGTTCGCTTGTGCACCTCAGGGAAATCTGCTGCTGCACATCAACTTCATAATCCCTTGAATTCTCATTGCCATCTACTTTTGAGCAAGGCAATAAAATCTCCTGGGTAGGAATTTTGACATGTTTCTCTACTTTTCTCAGTTTCTGAACCTAATGATTATTTTTATCCAATCATTATCCAGTGGTGCTGCTTATACTGCCATAAGAAAAGTTAAATATCCCTCCTCAGTTTTGCAGATAAAGCAATTGAAGTGTTGAGAGATTAACAGATTACATTTCCTGGGTCAGAGAGAAAGTTCCTGGCAGGGGTAATAATGGGACGTATTTCTGATCTTAATGTTTACATTGTGACAGCCCAATATCCTCAAAGCAGAAGTTTCAAAACCAAGCATTTAGTTATGACATTGGCAGAATGGAATCCCCTCAATTTGTTTGCTGACCTTGGGCAGTGAATAAACCACCCACTCAGTCTGAAGGATATCTATGATCTGAATGGCATATTCTGATATGATGAAACATATGTTTTATTTTAATGTTTTTAATTAGAATATTTCTGTTATAGAATTCCCTGTATTACTGCTTTGGACACAAGTAGAGATTCCTTGTGGTAGTAACTGAGCACTTGAGTCATAACACATTTCCATTATGGGATCCCTGTGAATAGGGAATGGGTACTGTCCCATTTTTAAAGGGTCTTAAAAACAAAGATCACAAAGTCTCTGTGCAGCAAAAATTTGAATTCACATCTCCTAGATTTTAAGCTGGATAAGCCTTCCTAATTACTGAATCAAAATTCCTTTCTGTAGTAATCATAATTCACAAAAAGCATAAAAAATGGCTGTAAAGAAGTGTGTTTTTCCAACCACTAAGCCTGTCACCGGGCTTAATCTAAAGCTTAGTGATAACCAAGTTAGTTTGTGAGCTCAGTCTTTCACATTCACTTGAGGATGCTGATAAAAGTTGGGAGTAAGGAGAAGGCAAATGAAAATTAAAAAAATGATAGCTTCTGCAAAGACAAATGAGATGTAGGAGTGGGGGGGTGGGGGTGGGGGTGGGGAAGAAGAAACCATGAAATGTGATCCAAAAGGAAAGCACTAAAGCCAAAAGAGGTATAGAGGAACCAGAGTTTTCAGGGCAGAAGTATGTAATGGGAAGAAAAAATCTAATCATAACTAAACTTCTCTGTAATGTCACAGATGTATGCATGGTTTTAGAACGTAGACAGAATGGAAGCTCTGCACATGACGCACTTCCAGTTCTGGCTCTTTGAGTTAGATCAAAAACTTCCAGGGAAGTGCAGTCTATTTTACATACATGAGAATGTACTTGGATATGATAAAATACCACAGCTGTCAGTCTAGATTGGAATCAATTTGCATGGTAATGCTCTGAGGGCTGCAATTTATTTTCCTTTCTCTGCAATCAGAAACTTTCCCTGTTTCAGTAGGGAAGATTGATCCTGGATGTCTGCTTATGCATTTGAAAAGATTTGGCTCTTCCAGTGTGACTCACCACTATTGGATACCTATAGCTCTGAGAGGAGGGAGTTCTGCAAGAAGTACAGTCATTTCTGCAGGGCCCAGAGAAACTGAAAATCTCACAATACGTAGATCTGGACTAGAGATTTCCTCATGTTAATGTGAGAATTGGTGAAGTTATAGAGAAAGAGGAGTTGCTTAAAAAGAAATAGAAGAGAATGTACTCAGAACGTACTCAGAACAATGTGGGCTTTGCAGGCTATACTTAGTATAAATTACTAAAGGAATACTTGCATACTACTATTTTTTTGTGGTGACAAAGCTAGCTGAAGAAGTTATCCTCTGAGGATAACTTCTCTGTGCTTTTGCTCTGCAACCACTAGAATTTTCTGTATAATCTGATGTGCTTATGCCTCTTGTGATGGGACTGTGCTGAACATAGGCCAGGTAAATTATACAAATGTCTAAAATAGTATTTTGGAAAGTATTCTTTAAACCCATGTCACTTTATGATCCAGATCAATTTTGCAGCATGGTAGTTACATTAGCATGACTTTGGAGTGGCAAATGGCATCAAGCAGGAGGTATTGAAATTTAAATGTAGGAGAAAGTGGGAGCTTCTTTGTTGCTGCAAGAGAACACATGTGCAGAACACCATCAAAACCAGTCTGAGGCCCAGGCCTGAAACATCTCTCTCCCTGAGATGCCTGTGTATCTTTTAACACATATGTTGTTATAGTATGGTTTCAAAAGAGGCTCAGTTCAGTGATCCTGGGTGATTATTAAAAAGAAATATGTGGGTGATCATCACCACAACAAAGCAATTTGGCACACCAGTAAATCCATTCATCTGTTACTTACAAAAACATGGAGAGAAGGAATAAAAGAACATAAAAATAGGATTTCCCACAGCCTGTTTTAAAAATCACTCATTCATGGATGTATTTGAAACACTCTTTCTAGCTCTCAGACTGCTGAGAGTACTGCTCCTTTTTTAGTGTGATATATATATTTCATCAAGGTGTTCAGGATGAATTCCAAAGATGAAAACACATCTACTGACCTGAAACTAATTTATATCACACCTGTTTTATAGTTTTTAGTCTGTGGTCTATAAACAAAGACAAAGGCCAGAGATTTCTCATTTTAATGGAATATCTGATATCTGCATTAGGAGAGCCATACAGAAATTCTTTGAGAGGTACCTTTGTATATTTTTTACAATGACTATTATATATACTGTGATGCTCTTTTCATTAAAAATCTCAAGAAAATCTTCCTCTTACCTGAAGGTAATGGCACGGCCTCAAAGAAGGTTTGATTTCCTGATGAACCAGAGGCTTATCTAAGTTCAGTGATGATTTGCGATAAGCTTCCTTAGCCTGACTTACTGTAAGCGTGGACCAAGAACTCCTTTTCATATATTTACTATCAGGGGTCATTGGTAGCCCTTCACAAGCCGAACACTTCACATCATTGTTACTTTTGGAAGTCTTCAATGAGAGATCCCCAAAATGCCCCTGGAGTGCCTCAGGATAGCAATGGGATATATGATCTGCATGGTGCCTATTTACCACACTAGGGGTTCGGTAAGTGCTATCGCTGTCCAAATTATCATCAGAGCTCCACCAGCTACTCATTCCAGATTTATGCTTGCCTTCTGGTTTTCGCTCCTTACTTTTACTCCTTTTGCTATGCTTGGAATGGTGCCCGTGATGATGATCGTCCCCTCGACTGTCTCCCTTTGTTCCATTAACATTGCCCTTGGATGATCCTTCCAGGGAATGAGATTTAGTAAAAAGTTTCTGGACGGAATGAACGAGATGGCGAATCCTTCCCGGGCTCTCACTGCGTTGTTCCGCAGCTGTTGAGGTCCGCTGGTACTGTAAAGTATGAAACCCATCCCGGTGAAGAGGAAGCTGTTTCTCAAATTGGTCCAAAAGATTCGCAGGAATACGGTTAATCTTGGGGTTACCGTGAGACATGGCGCAGTCGTCTCTGGAGTCGTAATGTGAGCTGTAGTGCATTCTGGGGAAAGTGCTACTTGACATGTGATCGCCCATTACCATGGGCATCATCATGCACTCAGAATGGATGGAGCTGCGGGGGGAGCAACGGTGGTGGTCCAGCGGGCAACTCTCCGTGGGGCTGAGAAGATATGACGGCCTTGGCTCCTGCCCATGGTGGATATGGTCGTGGGTATGTTCACAATCTTCAGGGGATGCTAAGCCACAAGTATGAGCTGAACATAACTGTGGTTGATTGCGACTACCAGATAATCCTTTCATATTCCTCGGAGCAGGAGAATATCTTTCTTCATTGAAGTGCTGAGAAGGCGACCATGAGTACTGCTGGTCTGTCATGAGAACATATAAAACCTGTGTTATGTGTCTGATTAAAAGATTAACTTGAAAATTCCAAGTATATTGAAAAACTAAACATTTTTTCTCTATGACCTTGGTGGAAAGTCTCACCATTCATGAAATTTCTTCCACCATTTAAAAATTAATTAAAATTGTTCACTATGAGTAAATTATGGGGAGAACACAGCCTCATTTCTCTTTGCAAAATTGTTATGTTCTAGATGTTATGAAGCTATTAATTGTGTAAATTTACTCAAATTTAATGGATACATTCAAGTATTCAGTTTATTATTTAATATTTATAGCTCATATGTCAAGCTTTGTGACTAATCATTTAAGTTACATGGTTAGTTTCTATTTTGGTGTTTTCACAGCTGGATATATTAAATGTATCCCTTCTCCATGGAGTCATTTTTGTACCATAAATTGAACTTAATTTTCTTCAATGAATCTCAGCTTCATGATCCTAAGTTCACTCTTCATAAGTATAAATAATAAGCAGCAAGAAGAAAAAAATATGAATGTGCTGAAATGAAGCTAAATTTTTATATTGCTAAACAGTTTATCAATAAAAACGTTTTATGACCACACCACATAATATTTATTTAATCACTCTAAGTTATTCCTGAAAAAACCCCAAATATATTTAGGTACAAGCTATGGGGTTTTATATACTTGATTACTTGTTCCTATGAATCATGTGCTCCAAGTTGTGGTTATTATGCAAGCATGATTGCTAAATAAGAGTAGCTTGTAAGCAAAGATTTTGATACTTAAGCTTTTGATTTTTTTCTCTTATGCAATTTCTTGCAGCTGTCATGTGTTACAAACAGAAAAATAAAAACAACCCTAGAAATACTTCAATTTGATTTTCCCATTCACTTTCCCTCTTCAATTTCAGCTTATTTAGGAAACATTTCAATAGCAGACAAAGAGATAAGATGCAAGATAATCCTTTAGAGGATAAGACAGATGTGTAAGTGTTTATACAACCCACTTATCACAGCCTTTCTGCAAATTTACTCTAAGAATCTAAATAAACTTGCACAGGTGGTTGATACAAGGAAGTTGCGGGTCTCAACCAGAATGGAAGCTAGAGAATATTTATTAACTGGACACTTGAACCAGGCTGTAGAGATAACACAGTAATTGACAGCACTTGGACGGGTTTCTAACCATATGACAAAGCTCTCCTAAATCATATTTCCACTGCTGGTGAAAACTCAATGCCTGGATATGGTCATGAAACAGATCAATACTCATATCTCTCTTATTTTATTCAACTAATATGTTTTACATCATGATACCTTAACCTAAATGCTGCGTATTTCCTATTGTGGGAGACATTTTGATATATTTATTATACCCTGATTTCAACAGAGTTGCACACAATGTTTTAAAATGAACACAGCATTAAACTAATAAATAGTGAAGTATTCTTCAGGCTAGGCATAATGATGCCACACTGAAGTCAAAGATGGATTTAATGGTACAAATGCCACCCCTATACTTTATCATGGCATCAGACTGGTGGGTCTGTGCATGTATTCCTTTCTGCGTCTATTTTGTTTTCCTGTCTATTTCTTTTACTTAGTTCTTGGCTATTATTACATTAAAATAAAATCTTATTACTGCTGATTGCTCAGTCTGTTGTCCTATTAGGTTATAATACCTTGCATAAATGTAGTTACAGGAAGGAAATCTAACTGTTTCTCTGAAATGACGTAATTTTGATTATATACAGAAGTGGCAGTAAATTATAACAGTGCTTTGGAATTCAGCCACATAAAGTAGTCCTGTAATTAGTGGTACTTTACCCAGAATATTACCAAACATTATCAGGGGAATAATAATGGACCATGTGCTGAATTTACTTATTCTGTACTTCCAATAAAGGTTTCCCAAAGTACCTGACAGAGATTACTACCATAGTTCTTACAAACCCATGAGATTAGATAGACTGACTTTTTTTTACAATGAGGGTGGTAAAACACTGGAAGAGGTTCATCTCATCTAAGATGTCCCTGCCTATTACAGGGAGGTTTGATTAGATGACCTTTAAAGGTGCCTTCCAACCCAAACTATTCTGTGATTCTATGTGGAAGATACTGTTCTCCTTTTAAAGAAATAGGAAGTTGCAATATAGAAAATATTTTCCAAAGCGCATATGGATTTTGTGATATTAATGTTCACAGAGGTGTGAGCCAGAGGGAGGTGGAAGGAAGCTCTTCTGTCACTCTAACAACATGATGAGTCAGCCCCAAGCCTTTTCATCACAATCATGCCCATCCATGAATGAATATAACTTGTACTATGCCTCATCAATGTATTTAGAAAAAGAAAAAAAAAAAAAAAAAAAAAAAAAAAAGGGCATGGCAGAGATCCAGAATGAAAGAAAGAGAATAAGAAACTAATTTTAAAGGAGTTCTGGAGCACTAGGAATTGCTAGTCCCTGGTGATTTGTTTAGGCTTCATGCAACATCAACCATAAACCAGAAGGTTTCAAATATTTTTGTCCTGTTACATCCCTAGGAGTATGAGAAGTGATGATTTGACTGCACTGCAATGGATAATCTAACAACAGCTTTTCTGTCCCTCATGGCTCCCTGTGATTCCAACTCAAAAATACCATTTTCTGTATGTCGCTTTAGCATTTTATGAGCTACATGGAATGTCTGAATTATTTTTGTTTGAAACACAGTAGCTAGAAACTACTATAGGCATTTATTAAGCATAATCAAAATAATTAAAACATTAATTAAGAAGTAGATGTTTTCCAGAAGTAATTGCCCCCTCTTAACTCTGTCATAGAGAGTAACTAAAACTAGATAAACTCCCAAATTATTTATGTGTGCATCATTTAAATTTATCACTCTAATTAGGTTTGTCAGTTTAGGACATCAAACTTGTTCTTTATCCCAGACACAACTAGTTCTTCATAGAAATATTTTGAAAAATCTTCAGAATTTTGAAATACAATATATAAATTTATCAAGTAATTTGTGCTTTGTATTATTCAGTCAACTTTCTTCAAGAGACTGAAGTGCTTGAAGAAACAGTTGATCTGTGGCTGAATGAATTACTGTGTGGTACCAGAGCAGTATAATTGCCTATGTGCTAGCTCTTAGCCTGCCAAGAAAAATGTCCTAGCTTAAAATTCAATTAAGCTAACATGCTTTTCTAGAATTTGCAAGGGGCTAAAAGTATGTCTGTGGTCAATGACCACAGCACAGCTGATTCATAAAAATTCATGAAGCTACAGCAATTTTTTTTCCATCTTTTCAAAAGAAATTTAATATTTTGGTATAATTAAATAGTTTCATATTTGATAGATCAAATAATGACAAATTGGACTGAAGCTTTAGTCTGTAACTTGAAATTTGTGGTTTTTTTACAGCAGCTCTTATGTTTGCTCTGGGCAATCACTCTAAAAACCACCAAATAAAATGCCACCATCAGAACTAAAGAGCTAAAGGGAGACGGAAGAACAAATAAACATAACCCAAAGCAGACAAAGAGTTTAAGGAATGGGAACAGAGAAAAAGATATTATATGAGAGCATAGGAATGGGTTTTTTTTTAGATTTCATCAGAACAAAATGGAATCTTCCAACTAACTTCAATGGATAGTCAGATAATATCTAAAGACTGGGGTGGGGGTGGACCTAGAACAAGACAAGGGCTGTTATGTCAGAGATTCCAGTAATTCCAAAACCCTGAAAATCCCTTAAAGCTCTTCTTTTTCAGATACTACTGTACAGATATGTCAACCTTTAACCTCAGCAGATGGAAGGATTTCTGCATCCCTTCCTATCTCCTTCAAATCTTTCCCTGTTACGCCATGTTGTGTCCTGCTTATTTTTTTCTCCTGTTTTCAGTTCTGGACTTTCTGAGAGTTGTTCTCTTGCTCCAAGCAGACATTGGTTTGCCTGTTTTTGGGGTCTGGCCACTATTTTTAGATTATCCAAGAAATTTCCTTGTGCTAGTCAGTTTCAAGGAAAGAAAGACAGGTTCAAGGACCAAGAATAATATTTGAAATGATGAATTAGAATTGCTATTAGTGTTCTAGATTAGAAGGCTAAAGCCTTCTAAGTAAAGCAACATAAGAGCTGTGCATTTCTAGAGTTCCTGGAACACTGCTCTTGGCTAAAGAACATCAATAGAAAAACACAGAAACTTCTCTGACATTCAAAAGAAGTGCTTGTCTCCACAAATCTTTTTGTGTGTTGCATATTAGAAGCAAGGTTTCAGGGTGTGATAATACTCTCTGGAACTACTAAATGATGCCTTATTTTTTCTTACTTTTCTTTCTATTGTGAAATTAATTTGAATTGCTTTAACTGTATAAGTCTGTCGTAATGTTTTGCCATCTGAAACATCTGTGCTGTTTTCATCAGAGAAGGAACGGTTCTTCTGCCTAGTGTAACCAGGAAAATGCACTGCTGAAAAGAGATACCTAATCTAGCTTTCAAAAAGAGGTGGTAGACAAAAACAGATTGCTACATCTTGCTGTTTCACACAGTCTAATCAGTGTTGAAATGCATTATGAAAAATATATCCTCACAGATTAACCTATAACTAATAGAAAATGAAATATTGGGAAAATGGGCATATTAATTAAATAAGTAGACATTAAATACGAAAATGCATAATTAAATGTTTTAGCTGGAAAAATGTCTGTCCAAGGTCTACATTAAGTACTACTATATGAGTACTTGTTACAGTATTTTTCTCTGTTCTATACTAGCCTTGAAAATTAATATTTACAGGGATTGAGAAGAGTGACTAATTGGCCAAATGCAAGGAAGAAGTCCTGGAAATGCAAATGCTTTAAGCTTCTGTTATGGTCTCACCAATTTCCAACCTATTTATGCAGCACAACATCTACATCTGGTATAAAATTTACATAAAATTGCAAAGACTGAGTGACCATCTTCCAGTTTTAGAAGATGACTTGTATTTTTAGTGATGTGTGTGCTCTTCATGCAGTGTAT